AACAAACAGGGTCAAGCAAAGTGCGAGTTCACACCTGTCTCTTATACACATCTAGATGTGTATAAGAGACAGGCTGTAGGTAGTCCGCAATTTTGCCAAGGACCGTTCCCCCAAATGTTTTTGCCCCCGAAAAACCCACTTGCGTCCTGGGCGCCCGCCGCCAAAAATGCGACACCTTGACACAAACGCCGAAGCCCACTAAACCGCAGCCTAAGGGCTGCGAATTTATATGAAGGCTAATTCTTTTGCCCAACTAATTCAATTACCTATCGAATCTGGACAGGACGGCCTTGCAGGCCTTTCTTATTGTAATTTTAGTATTACGGGGAACCCCGTAGCAGCCACATCTGTCCTCGAGCCTTCAACGAGGGAACATGCGGGAGCTGCACCCACCAGCAGGTGGGCGATACCGGCCAGGGGTCAGCTGCTAGCATCAGGACCGAGATTCTTGGATGGGCCAGTCGCTGTGCCTCCCCTGTGGTCCCCTGCCCCTATGAACATGAACAGTCTCTGCTCAATGCCACTTTAGGGGACCAACGGCCTATCTCTAGGTGGCGGGTGCCAAGCTTGCCCATGAAGCTACAATGAATGTAGTGGCTCGGTGGGTAGGTGCTTAGAGTGGCCCGGTGAGTAGGTGCTTGGAGTGGTTCGGTGGGTAGGTGCTTGGAGTGGATTGGCAGGTAGGTGCTTGGAGTGGCTCGGTCGGTAGGTGCTTGGAGTGGCTCGGTCGACAGGTGCTTGGAGTGGCTCGGTGGGTAGGTGGTTGGAGCGGCTCGGTTCGTAGGGACTTCTTTTTCTTAAACCATCGCTACCTTTCTCATATGTCGGCCGCGGGCATCTAGTAGCTTACTCCTGAAAAATAGCCACCGCTGTCGACATTTTTCGTTGACAGCGCGTGGCGACCGAATTTGACTTCGAGGCCCTCATCCCCACATTTGAGAAAGGTAGTGGTAGTTAAAAAAAAACTGTATTTTTGTTAGAAATATAAACGGGAAACACAGGAGTCACAAAAATGAGTTATAGTTGCACTATGGGCCAAGATACAGTTTGCAATTGCAGTTCCGACAATGTATACAACCCAACTTTCTGGCCAGGTAGGGTGTGTGATGTGCAACCTCACGCCCTGTGCTGTCTTATGTTCGGAGTGCTAAGGGTGCGGAAAGAAGGCCCAAAAAAACAGCAAGATGGGGTGTGCCAAGGATTTTTGGAAAATTGAGTGTGAGGACACAGACAAAACTGAAATTCCCCGTGTTGGCCCGATGAAGTAAGTCGGTTGCTTTCGAGTGCCGCGGAATGCGCGCGTGGGCTCGGCGCGAAAAGAGAAAAATCCAAATTCAATCCAAAAAGTATTGTCGAGCTTCCCACCGCGCTATGGGTCTTCGTTTAGAGCGGAAGGGCTTCGGTACACTCCGTGTGTCCCATTTCCGTATCAAGTCTCGACGTCGCTCGCTGGTCAGTTCTGAGTCTGACGTGGAGGGTCTCAGCCGCGTGACTCTTTCCTTGTGCTCGTCTTCACTCCATATCTAGTAGTGGAAACCCTTTGATTCGTAGCGATCGAAACACTGGCACTCAGTGCACAGGGTTCGAGGCCAATGGGGCGCTACTACCGTCCACAGAATGACGATCAACTCGTTAAATGGCAACAACATTGAGTAAGGTGGGAAATGCGTATCGATAATGACAAACCCCACGTCCACGAATCCAGAACAACGATTTTCGGGAGGGAAGTAATATCATCCGTCGATCCGTGCGACAGCTTCTCGTACGTCCCACTCGCAAACGCGTGTCCTTTCCTCGTTGTAAGGGAAGGGGCGTGTTGTCGAGGGAGATACGGGAGGCTGGCGCCCGATCGAGGTACGACCGTCAGTCCACATATCAATCAATCAAAATGAGTTTGCAAAAACCCCGTAGACATCATAAAAAAAAACACAATTGAAAAAGAACTAACTAGTATTTTTCCTCCCTTCGGCACGGGAGGAGCGAGTTACGAAGTTCGTACAATCATGCAATAATCGGGTTGAAGTTTCGAGAAATCAACCTGCAACTCAGTTTCAGCAGACCAGTTCGACAAAAACCCGAGGCGCTCGACTTTTTCGAGGTTGCCCCATTGACTGTCTGCAGATGTCGTGCAGCATAAGGCAGATGGCATGTGCAGTGCATTCAGAACGACAGATCTAAGCACTCTTGCATTCTCGAACAAAATCCCATCGAACGCTGGGTCTAATCAACGCAAAAATACCAACATTTCTATACATACATCTACTGTGGAAGGTGCGAAAATGACAATGGTGCATCAAAAACAAATCGAGGGATAGTACACACGCATCCACCGTTCACAAGACAAGATGATTGAGCTTCCTTGCACCCGGGATTACCCACGAAACTTATGGAAGAGTTCCGAAAGAAGTTCTTCTGGGCGGGAAATCACGAGGATTCACTTCAGTTCATAGGAGAGAC